TATTTTTGATTTCGAGAAGAGAAGCTTTGAGTTTGGGACATTTATTACAGCTCTCTTTGAATATTTGGTTCTCCTTTTTTGGAGGATAAAATTTTGTATATATGTCTCTTAATTCCATTTATATTATAAATCATCAATATTTACCACAATCCACAACATATAAAAATAGAAATTGAAGATATCTTCAAAGCACATAGTACAATTGTGATATGTATCAGATAAATTAATAATCAAATGCACACAACTTGTGTTAAAAATAGTAGATAGGCTGCTGTTTTGGTAACGTCCATTATAAAAGCCCAAAATTAAATTGCATTGCTATAAAATAATAAATTATAGTATTTAATATGCACACGTGTTAACGTTATATATTCACACGTGTGGCTTTCCTTGTGATGTATCCATCCCCCTTCCTTCACACAGTCCACACTCCGTTCGTTCCTTCTTTTAAGTCCGATTTGTGAATAAAGCAGAGAGTTTGAGTGGGAGAGAAGCGGAAAGCTCGAGGAGGCATCAATGGTGACTGAAGATAGCGACTCCTCTGGGAAAATCGGAGTCAGATTTACCTTTAAATCTCCTCGTTTTTTCTTTGTTTCATCCTTTTTTTGTCGTTTGAAATTATATCTGATATTGTTCGTATTCGCGTGATCATTCACACTTTTTTCATCTTGAAATCCGTTCGAGAGTATCAAATTATATTCGCTCTCTCGTTTTTTCCGCCTCCGAAATCGAATAATTACGATTTGCTAACTGTTGGAGCTGATTGAGCTTATAGGATTCGTGTCTTTCTGTTTCTGATGTAAATTTTGGAGAATTTTTGACGTGATACACTTTCTTTGATCAATTTCTGCTCGGATTATAAGGTTTATTATTGCCCCATGATCCTAAAATTCACACGAAGGAGTAGTTTTGTTGTATGAGAGCTGATATTACAATTTATGGACATTTTTTATTTTACTCGGATTTTTTGTTCTGAATGTTTGTTTGAACATTTATTGGGCTTCTATGTAGAATTCTAATGTAGATGATGATGGTGCCGATAGTCTCGAGGGTTTGGATGAAAAGTTGAGTCAGCTTAAAAGGAAAATTCAAGGAGAGAGAGCTAGGTTTGTTAAAGTAAGGGATTTTTTTTTTTCTTTTTGCTGTTTCTCTATACATGATGTTCTATATTCACTCCTGAATGTTCAATCATTATTGTATATCCTCCTGGAAATGCAGGAAAAATTTGAGACTAACAGAAAGAAAGTGGATGTTCATGTTTCTCCTCTTTTATCTGCTGCATCAAGCCGGATTACCGCAGGGGATATCGGAAATAGCAATATGTTTTCATCGAGAATGGAAAAACCACTCTGCAAGTTAAATGGTTTTACTCATGGGGTTGGAGATAGAGACTATGTTCCTACTAAGGATGTTATATCAGCAAGTGTCAAACTTCCAAGTGCCGAGAGAATACCGCCTTACACTACCTGGATATTTTTGGACAGGCATGTAGTTGTTTTTATCACTCTCTTCTATAACTACTACATAGATTTGAGTGCAAGCTGTGGCTGTTTGTTAGTCCTCATTGAAGTTGAATTAATATTCTACCATTTGTAGATTGGTATTAAATGTATCAGTTAGACGCATTTTTCTCCATTGAGGGCCAAGTTGGGGATAATGGGGGAAAAAATGTTGTGGCTGGGAGCATGTTGTCCAAAATCCAGTTTAACAATATACTTAAGATCACTCAATACAGTTTCCATATTATGTGTTGTTTCTCTTGTCTGAAAATGTCTCTTAACAATGCAGAAATCAAAGAATGGCTGAAGATCAGTCTGTGGTTGGTAGGAGACAAATCTACTATGATCAACATGGTGGGGAGACACTAATATGCAGCGATAGCGAGGAAGATCCAGAACCTGAGGAAGAAAAACGTGAATATTCCGAGGGTGAAGACTGCGTCATATGGTTAGTAATGCAGAGAGGGTGAATTATGGACCGTTATATGTTCTAATGTGGAAAAAACTTTGATGTTGGTATACTTATCTTGATATTTGAAGAACGAAAGAAATACATGGGTGGAACTTATTAATCAATGAATCGCATTTATTGATGCTAAACATTTTCATATCAAAATTTTCATTCTGTAAACTCTTCACTAGCAATAGGTTAGAAAATAGTCTCACGATATATGAATGTCTTAATAACCTTGTTTGAGTTGAATTGTCAGGTTGATTGGGCAGGAGTATGGCTTGGCTGAGGAAGTGCAGGATGCTCTCTGCCAGTTCCTCAGCTTAGATGCTTCAGATATTCTGGTTAGTTTTAGCCACCTTGTTCTTGTGGTTTATCTAATGATGTTTTTCTGGTCTTCCTATTCTGCTTCGCGAATGGTGTTTGACATCCCTTTCTGCTGCAGGAAAGATACAATGAACTCAAGTTGAAGAATGAACAGAATGTTGAGAACTTCTCTGATTCCGGATTCAAACTGGGAATATCTCTGGGAAAGAGCCTTAGTTCTGCTCTAGATTCTTTTGATAATCTTTTTTGCCGTCGTTGCTTGGTACTTGGATCGTTCTTTTGTGACAGAGAGATCATGTATTACTAAGTCTTTGTCAATCATGTTAATCCTTCTTTTCTTATTCCAACAGGTATTTGACTGTCGTCTGCATGGATGTTCTCAGCCTTTGATTAGTGCTGTAAGCTTGAACTAGTCTTTACTTTTTTTAAGTTTATTGCTTAAGTTTCAGTGAACAACATAACCAGAGGAATTTGGTTGGCAGACTGAAAAACAGCCTTACTGGTCTGATTATGAAGGTGATAGGAACCCCTGCAGCAAACATTGTTTCCTCCAGGTCTATTTCTCTCTGTCTCTTTATACGCTCAGAGACACATGAAATGTTTTCAGTTAGTGTTTTCCCCTCTATAAACTCTCTTTAAACAGCGAGATCATGGAATTGATATCATATATATCCGGAAATAGGTTGTGGTTTGGCATGTATGCATCTGCTAGAGGAGTGATCTTATATCATAGTTAAAGGAGTGCGTAGTCTTGTTTATGTTTGAGTTTCTCTTGGAATGGATTTTAAATCACCATCATTTTTATGTTATTGGTTATAGCTTAATGCGGTCAGAGAAGTACCAGGAGCAGGCAGTAATTTTGCTTCTAATGCAGAAGAGAAAGCTTCAGAAGAGGAATGCAGCAAGGTTGTCTCCTCTGATGACCCTCATGATTCTGCTGCTGGTGTCAATCTGCAAGTTGAAAAGACTAGTATTGGTTCCAAGAATTTAGATTCATCCTCTGGTGTAGAACAAGACCATGAAAGTAGGGGAAAGCGTGAGGTTTGGAATCTTGAAGACTCCAATGATATGCCTAATTTATCAAACAAAAAACAGAAGACTGCAGCATCAGATACAAAAATGTCATTTGTTAATCCTATCTCTAGCTTAGATCAGGCATTGGATAGCACAAAGGGTGATCAAGGGGGAACACCTGATACAAATGAAGTAAATACAGACTCGGGAGCTGATTTAAAAGAAGTAGCTGAGCCTATTCCAGACAATTCGATCCATGATGGTGGTTCCTCAGTTTGTCAGCCAGATCATGGTAGTGGAGACGGAACAATAATTATTGGAGAAATGTCTGAGACAAGTCAACCATCTACAGAGTGGAAGCCTATTGAGATGGATCTTTACTTGAAGGGAGTTGAAATCTTTGGGAGAAACAGGTAAATTGGATCTTGGTAAATTATTGTCTTCAAAACACAAAACACGTAATTACATCTACTATGTTTGTCCATGTTGCTTCAGCTGTCTTATTGCAAGAAACCTGCTTTCTGGCTTGAAGACATGCCTAGATGTGTCAAGATACATGCGTGAAAACGAAGTTTCAGTTATTCGAAGATCTAGCACCCCAAATTTGCTGTTAGATGATGGAAGGACTGACCCAGGGAATGAGGTAAGCTCTTGATCTTCGTAGATTCTTTTTTCTTTTCAGTTTTTCTATAGTCTCTACCACTTTGGACATTGGTGTATAGAAAATTTGTTTTTCAGACTGATAGGGTTAGAGATCTAATCCACACAAAAAGGAAGTTCTGATATGAAACTCCAATTTCCTTGCTTAATTTTCCCTGAAACTACGTGTGGCAAGAGAAAACGAGAGTTGACTATAAGTTGGCTTAGACCGGTGGTTATTCTGTTTGCGATGTTCTTGGTATTATCATGCCATGACTGTCAGAATCATATTTTAGTTCATACTGCTCTCTCATTATTACTTTACTTGACAGGATGATGAGGTGCCTCCAAGGACAAGATTGTTCCGTAGAAAAGGTAAAACTCGGAAGTTGAAATACTCAACAAAGTCTGCTGGTCATCCATCTGTCTGGAAAAGAATAGCCGGTGGCAAAAACCAGTCCTGTAAGCAATACACACCATGTGGATGCCTGTCAATGTGCGGAAAGGAATGCCCTTGTCTAACTAATGAGACTTGCTGCGAGAAATATTGCGGGTATGCAAACAATTAATGTGAAATGAAGGATTCGGTATCTTCTTTAACCCATTGGCTTATCTAATTCAGGTGCTCAAAAAGTTGCAAAAATCGTTTCCGAGGATGTCATTGTGCAAAGAGCCAATGCAGAAGCAGGCAGTGTCCCTGTTTTGCTGCAGGCCGGGAATGCGATCCAGATGTTTGCAGAAATTGCTGGGTTAGGTAGTCCGTTTAAATCCATATCTTTTGATGATGCTATAGACAAATCAAAGTCCACTATTTGATGACTAATTTAAAAAAGACTTGCTCATTTACTCAGTTGTGGAGATGGTTCTCTTGGCCAAGCACCAAGACGTGGAGAAGGCCAATGTGGAAACATGAGACTTCTCCTGAGGCAACAACAGAGGGTAGAATGTCGTCATCGCGTATTCACAAACGAATTGCTTTCATTGTTGACAAATCTATTTTTATTGTGTGTTATTTACCAGATCCTCTTGGGGAAGTCTGATATTGCTGGATGGGGAGCTTTTCTAAAGGTACGGATGTGAATATCTTCCTATATAACCGCTGTTTCATATCTCTTCTCTCTATCTGTAAGTAACCTGATCTTCATGATGATCATCAGAACTCGGTCAGCAAAAATGAGTATCTCGGAGAATACACTGGCGAATTGATCTCACACCGTGAAGCTGATAAGCGTGGGAAGATATACGACAGGGCAAACTCTTCTTTCCTCTTTGACTTGAATGATCAGGTGACTATTCTCTCACCTTCCTCCCGAAGGTTTTTCCCTGTTAAACTATGTATTCATAAGTAGAGTTTCTAATATTTGCAGTACGTCCTCGATGCTCAACGTAAAGGAGACAAACTGAAATTTGCCAATCACTCCGCAAAACCCAATTGCTACGCTAAGGTACTAAAAGCTAGGATTATAGAAAACATATATGATCAAATCTAGTTTTGTAGATTGTGATAACAACTTATGGAACTTGTTTGTGTGTTTGTAGGTGATGTTTGTGGCAGGAGATCACAGGGTGGGGATATTTGCAAACGAACGAATCGAAGCGAGTGAGGAGCTTTTCTATGACTACAGATATGGACCAGACCAAGCACCGGCATGGGCTCGTAAACCTGAAGGCTCTAAGAAAGATGATTCAGCCATTACTCATCGTAGAGCCAGAAAGCACCAATCTCATTGATGAGTAGAAGAATAAGGTTTTAAATTAAATAAATTAAAACAACAAAAAAAATGTTGATGTTGAAGTTGGGACCTTTTGCTTATGTTTGGTTTTAAGTTCTGAATTTGTATAGGTGATAAACAATTTATGAATTATTGGGGTTAATAATCAGTGTCAAATAGTGTTGTTCTTGGTTAATCAGTATCAGTAATCTTGCATATCTCTTGAGTTTTGTTTTGTTTTTAATATTCAATGGAATCAAATGTAATTACAATAAGTAATCAAAGAAACTAAACCAGTGACAATCAACAGAGATACGAATTAAGTAACCAGTAAACCGGTTTCCGGTTATCGGAGTCCCCAGGAACAACCTTGGACCATCTTCGGAATTCTTCAATTGATTGATCGGATCCACTTTCTTCTTGCATTTCGAATCTCTGAGGTGGTAAAGTTCTGATTCCGGTAACAGAAATTCTCGTCGGCGAGAAGAAAATGGCGACGGAAGCGGCTCCGGGGGATGAGAAGGCGAAGAGAATGAGAGATCTATTGTCGAGCTTTTACGCTCCGGATCCTTCAATCTCGAATTCTAGTTCTTCGATCAGTACCTCCTTCGATAACATCAATAGCTCTTCCTTCGACGCTGATCAGTACATGGATCTCATGGTTAGTTTCTTCTTCTCTTCTCGCAGAAAACTGGGTGAATCTCCAATACAAATCTCATTAGCTTGTTACCAATCATTGGGTATTCATTTGGATTATGCATTCTCCGATTCAACTCCAAGTCAGATTCAGCTCTTTTTCTGGGGGTTTGGTTAGAAATTTGATTGGGTGTGCAGAAAGGAAACTTGATGGAATTCTTACAAATGTAGTTGTACTTAATCAAAGATCTTCATGTGATGCTTGATAGTTCCTGAATCAATTGTGCGAGTGGTCTTATTGAGAAACAAATGCGACAATCTGGTGGTTTTTATTGGCTTGTTGCAGATTAAAAAGTCGAATCTGGAAGTGCTTCTGCAAAGGCATGTTCAGATGGCCGCAGAGATAAAAAATCTCGACACAGACTTGCAAATGCTAGTCTATGAAAATTACAACAAGTTTATCAGCGCAACAGATACCATCAAAAGGTACTTGTACTTGTAACTACTCGTGAATCTTTTGAGGTGTTACGTATGTGATTCTTTTAAGCATTTCAACACTATTTTTTGTTTACCCGGCTCAGGAATATGTGTATACTAAGTTCAAATTGTTGCTTCATTACCTGGTAGGATGAAGAGTAATATTTTTGGGATGGAAGGCAATATGGACCAACTTCTTCAGAAGGTGTTTTGGACACATGGAATAATCGTGAAGTTTTAAGTTTTCGACTTAGTATTGTATGAACTTCTAACCCATAGTATGTTCTCCCAACTGACTGCTGCAGATAGTGTCAGTGCAATCAAGGAGTGATGGGGTCAACACTTCTCTTTTTGCAAAGAGAGAACATATAGAGAAACTGCACCGGACACGTAATCTTCTTCGTAAAGTTCAGGTATGTAATGAATCAGTGTTTCTAGCTGCTTGTTTTTTTGCCTTGTTGCTATGTAATTATTGTAACAGTGGTATGCTGCTTGCTATTGTGAATTTACTCAAAAACTTATTTTTGTAAAAAAGAGCAGTTCATTTATGATTTACCTGCAAAACTCCAAAAGTGCATCAAGTCAGAAGCCTATGGCGATGCTGTTAGGTTCTATACTGGAGCAATGCCAATTCTCAAGGTTTCTATAACTTCTCATTTTTTGTAGTATACTTTTAATTTTAAGGGGGCATTTTTCTTTCTTGATATATATAGGGAGATATGTTTGTCAATAAGAACTTCTCATTCTGATCAGGTATATGGTGATACATCATTCCAAGACTGCAGGCGAGCTTCTGAAGAAGCTATAGAAATCATCATAAGGAACTTGCAGGTGTACCTTTTGGTCCTATTAGTCTATAATAGTCTGAAGGAATAGAAATCTACATACTGGTTTATTAAACTGATAAACAAATAACCGGTCTGTCTGTTTTTGTTTGTCATTTCTTCGAATTCTTGACGTGAGAAACTTAATTTTTCTTTTTCAACAGACGAAGCTCTTTTCAGATTCAGAATCCATACAAGCGAGAGCTGAAGCTGCAGTGCTTCTGAAGCAGTTAGATGTTCCTGTTAGTTCCTTCTCTCAGCTCAATCATTTGTTACTTATCTAATTTGTTAAAGCATCTATAATTTGGGTGAACGATGGAGCTACTTACAAATCTGTTCGTACTCCTTTATGTGCAACTGAATTTTTGTCTTTGTTGCATAGACGTGTCACTGGTTGCTGTGACATAAATTTGGATTTCATGTCCTGCAGGTTGATAGCTTAAAGGCCAAGCTGTTGGAAAAGCTGGAACAAGCCCTTGATGGTCTTCAAATAAAGCCTGAGGAGGCAAGTAAACTTGCAGAGCACAATGATTCATCTAAAGATGAGGAAAGCAACCAAGGTCCTGCTAAAATTCATGAGGTAAACATGGACTATGCCACTTCCTTGTGTCTTGTGTTCTGACAATTGCAAGTTGGAACACAGTCATACTGAGTGTATTTGCTAATCACTTTGAATATCAAATACTACTTTTCATGGATTTGTACTCATTAGCCATCATATTGAGAATTCTTTTCTTTTACTTACTTTGTTCTATCAGATTTGACGATCTTTTTCTGGCTTTCGATATATTAATGTGTGCTCCCAATTTCTGATAGGACGCTGTACGTGGATTTTCTGAGGCTATGCGTGCTTATCGAGAAATATTCCCTGACTCGGAAGAAAGACTTTTTAAACTTGCGAGAGCCTTAACAACAATGTAATGTACTTTTTCTATGATACATTTATCTATGAACCGAAACTTTATTTGCGTCTGACCTTTGGAATTTATAACACTTACGGTTGTTAGGCACTTTGAGAATATGGAGCTATATATTAGAAAACGGGTATCTGCAGCGCAATTTCTTGGAATTTTCCGTGAGTACAGTGGTTTTCCTCGTGATGTTGTCTCCTACTGTCTCTTTCCTTACGTTGCATCCTTTTACCTCTGAAAGCTTTGATTAAATCAGTCTAATAACTGTATACCTCGTCTGATTTCTGTTGGACATAGGCATTATATGGGAAGATGTGGTACTTATGGACGAGGTTCTACCTGAGGCTGCGCTCTCTGATTTATCTGCTGAGGTTGCCCCTCAATTGTTTTCTGTTGCTCTTCTTTTTGTTATGATGAGTAGAACTATATATATGTTTACTACTACTCGTCCTTTCAGGCTGCCCAGGTCACTCTTAAGCAATTTGTTGCAAGGACGTTTTCTCATCTTCAACAGGATATATCAGGTTCGCTGTTTCTTAATATCCACTGGATTCAGAATATCTGAGTAAGAGAATGAGCATAGCTAGTATAACTCATAATACGTCCTGTGACATGGCCTTTTTGAGTAATTTGACAAAGGGACCAGCAAGTGTCTAAGAGTAGATTAATTTCTTCATGAAGTATGAGTCTTTAAAGAAGTCCGAACTAAAATTAGGTCTCTATACGTGGCAGATTCTCTTTTGAATTTCGATATCAACCAAAAGGAAGTAGTTGACAAGGAAGTATTAAAGGTTGTCCTGGAAGCTAGCAGAAAGGCGGTTCTTCAAGGCACCGCAGATATATTTCAGGCAGATTTCTTCTTCTGTTATTTAAGATATATTTTTTTAATTTTGGCTATAATTTCCTCTGTATATATTCCATGCTCAAAATCGTTTATATTTGTTTATCATATCAGGGCTTCCGCCAGCTTCTTGATGAAAACACCGGAATATTTGTCAAGATGAAGGACTTACTCATTGGTTGGATTCAGAAAGGATTTCAAGACTTCTTCAGGTCACTTGAAGCTCACTTTCTAGTGCTTTCAGGAAAAAATAGCTCATCAAACGAGACTGAAGGTTTGATAGAAGGAAAGTCGAGTGAGAAAATTCAAGCTGGTCTCATCCTTGTACTGGCGCAGCTCTCTGTCTTCATTGAACAAAAGGTCATCCCGAGAATTACCGAGGTAACGAGTCTTACTACTGTGGTTTTGATATAAAAAGTTTAAACCACATTGGTAGTGGATTTGAGAAATTCCATATGTTGTTGATATAGGAAATAGCTGCTTCCTTCTCTGGCGGAAATTCCCAAGCTTTTGAGAATGGGCCTGCGTTTATTCCTGGAGAACTTTGCCGGGTCTTCCACGCAGCCAGCGAGAAACTTCTACAGCATGTATGAGTTATACCCCAAAACTTGAGGTCGTTTACAAAAACTGAACATCAACTAACTATATCATTTTATATTTCAGTACATAGACACAAGAACGCAGAAGATATCGGTTGTACTGAGAAAAAGGTTCAAAACACCAAACTGGGTTAAGGTATCGCTGTTGTCGTGTGACTATTCTTCTTAATGAAGCATTTCATCATCAGTGATTGTTTTCTAAAGATTCTGTATATATTCTGCAGCACAAGGAGCCACGAGAGGTTCACATGTTTGTCGATATGTTTCTTCAAGAGGTTTGACAACACTTCTCTCAATCTGGAAAATATGACGAGAGAACATGCAATGACTCAGTTTTTGTTTTGTTTTTGCAGGTAGAAGAAGTTGGTAAAGAAGTGAAACAAATTTTACCTCAAGGGACTTTCCGTAAGCACAAGAGAACAGACAGCAACGGAAGTAACACTACAACCTCATCACGGAGCAATACACTCCATAACGATAAGATGACACGGACGAATTCACAGAGAGCTCGAAGCCAGCTTTTCGAGACACATCTTGCAAAACTGTTCAAGCAGAAAGTAGAAATATTCACCAAGGTTGAATTTACCCAGGTAAGAACAAAAAAACCATACGAGGTTTCCTTATCGTTTACAATCAAACACACGCACACGAGCATGCGTCATCTCCTGATCCATTTTTCTTTGCTTTCATGCCAAAATAATTACAGGAATCCGTTGTTACGACAACCGTAAAGCTCTGTCTGAAGAGTTTGCAAGAATATGTTCGGCTCCAAACGTTCAACAGGAGCGGTTTCCAGCAAATTCAGCTAGACATTCAGTTCCTAAAAGCTCCTTTGAAGGAAACCGTTGAAGACGAAGCTGCAATTGACTTCTTGCTCGACGAGGTGATTACACCAAAAGCTTACCGAGTAAATCGGGTTTAGAGGATCTGTGTCTGTGTCTATCTTATGCAACTAACGATTCCCCTCTCGGGACCGACTTTTGTACTAACAGGTGATTGTTGCGGCTTCGGAGAGGTGTCTTGATGTGATTCCATTGGAGCCACCGATTTTGGACAAACTCATACAAGCTAAACTGGCTAAATCAAAGGAGC